TTGGCCGTGTCCAAGTAAAAATTTGGTGCCTTGTGCACAGGTATTTAATTCTAACGAAAAAATTTAGTTTCGTTTAGAATAACGCACTGTCATCCGCGATTTGGCTCTTATTGCCTATCTTATATATGTTAAATTTATATTTATATATTACAGAGCCTAGTTAAACTCTTAATTTAATTAATTAATTTTTTAAGTCTATGTTTAATAAATTTTTTAAGTCTGTATTCAATAATTTTATTCATTTGATAAATACATGTATGTCTTTATTTTGATATGTTTAATATAATTAGAAATTCATTATTAATTAGATATGTAAACTATAAATTCATATAATATTTGAAAATATATGTGAATATTTAAATTTTTATCTTCTCCTTCCTCTCCTTCAATCTCTTTAATATCAATATGTGTATGTGTGTACACGCGCGCACATTTGTACGTATTTATTTAATTATTGGATAGTTGAGAGTACTTAATTGATAAAAAATTATGACAATAATAATCCTTGTTTTTTTTTCTTATTATTAACTCAGATTTTTTTGTCTATCTTATAAGATAAACACTTTAGAGATTGAATATTTCAAGTAAACTAATTGTAAGTAAATTTCACATTAATGCATATAGATGTTTAATCATGAATGTACTAAATAAGTACACAAGACGAACAGTGAGTGAGTGAGTGAGAATGAGAGAGTGTGTGTGTGTGTGTGCGTGTGTGTGTGAGAGAGAGAGAGAGAGAGAGAGAGAGAGAGAGAGAGAGAAAGAGAGAGAGTTAGCCAACATAACCCCGCACGCTGCCGATCATGAATGTACTAAATAAGTACACAAGACGAAGTGAGTGAGTGAGTGAGAATGAGAGAGTGTGTGTGTGTGTGCGTGTGTGTGTGAGAAAGAGAGAGAGAGAGAGAGAGAGTTAGCCAACATAACCCCGCACGCTGCCGATATGGCGGAGCGCCACTATCGCCATCTGTTGTAAAACGTGCGAGATGGACAAAATTACCACTACATGCATCTTGCATGTGTTGTGTACGTGTGATATATGTGTGCGCATGTGTTGTATACGTGTGAATACGTGTAGCACGATACTACTATGTATGCGTGGTCGATGATGATAATGATGATGATAATGATGATGATAATGATGACGGGGACGTTTCTTAATAGAAATTTTTCATATTTCGACTTTGCATTTATATATCTCTGCTTACAAATCACGTAGAGCAGAAATAAAGACACTTTTATTATATAATTCGAACTCAATCTATCGATTAAGTCTAGTATAAACTCGATTGCTTCAGCCATTATTGAGGATTCGAAATATTATAAAGACTCAAATGTCCGACTCGCGTTAAGATACACGGCGTCTCCGCTACGCCCTTAACTGGTCGCGAGACACTACCGTGTCTCTTGATATCCGGATTATCATGGCAAAACCTCCTTGTATATTTATGCATACTAATCAAATCTTCATGAGTTGAATTAAACTTAGTTTTGCCGTGTAAAAAATAGGAAAGTTGTGGAACCAGATTGTTACGTAATGTATTTAAATTTTTCATGTTAGAACTAGTGGAATTCCCTTCTATATCTTTGATAAACTCGTGTATGGCCAACTTTTTTTCATTCTTAAACGGCAGGCCGAATTTACTTCCAGATTGTAATAGATTAGTGACATTGGTAGGAATTATTGTGTCAGTCAAATTAATAAACCATTTTTCGTTAGTACTGGTTAGAGGATTAATATGTTTGTCTCTGAATTTATTAGGATATATGACAATGTCTTTGTTTATATTATTGTTTACTGAAATTGTTGATTGTGGAATGTCTATTTTGTTGATGGAATAACTAAGTTTAATCGGTTTGATATTTTTCAGATATTCGTCTTGTTTCTTTTTAATTAGCCAATTAAATTTGTTATTATGTTTGTTATGTAGTCTGTTATGAATCATGTCAAATGAGATGAAATGATGTCTTAAAATTTCGTTCCATATGTGTACTGGTAGTTTGTTAGCCACATATCTTGAAATATTGTAAAGTTTACCATGTAATAAATTAATTAGTCTATATAAATCTCTGATTTCAATATTTAAAATTTGTTTTTTGAATCTGTACAGCAAGCTATCAAGCCTTTTTTTCGATCTAAAGTGATGTAAACAAAATTGATTCCTACAATACGATGTCAAGTGGTTAGGTAAGACATCAAAATCTTTACAATGTTTTAAAAAATTCAACTTTGATCTAGCTTTGAAGGAGAATACTCCATTTAGAGTAATTGTGTCATCGATTAATACCACGCTTTACTCGATAGCCACTTTTTTACATAAAATCATTTCAAATAGTATTCCTACGGGAAAAAGTAATATAAATAATAGTTTTGAACTTTACAGCAAGCTAGCGGGTAAGAAAATTGGTGCGGAAGATATTCTAATATCATTAGACGTGGTTTCACTATTCACTAACATTCCGATAGATCTTGCAATAGAAAGTGTGAGCAATAGATGGAATTATATCAATACACATACATTAATTCCAAAAAATGAATTCATTTCCATGGTTAAATTTATATTGGCGTCAACATACTTCACATTCAATGACATTGTATACAAGCAAGTTTATGGCACACCTATGGGCTCCCCGTTATCGCCAATAATTGCTAATATTGTTATGCAAGATCTTGAAGAATCAATAATTAATGAATTGGACATTGGTATCGGAATATATTATAGATATGTAGACGACATTATTATGGTGGCACCAAAGAATAAAATTGATAGTGTACTGAATAAGTTTAATAGTTACAATCAACGACTACAATTTACGATTGAATACGAAATTAACAGAAGCATAAATTTTCTAGATTTAAACATTAAAATAATAGATAACGTCATACACTTAGATTGGTTTCAAAAAAAGACATGTTCAGGTAGAGTACTATCTTTTTATCGAGTCACCCTATGTGCCATAAAATAGGAGTAATTTATAATCTTATTAATAGGGCATTGTTATTATCTCATCCCATATATCATAAGAAAAATTTAGAACTGTGTATTAAAATATTATTGGACAACGGTTACCCTATTCATTTAATCTTTAAAGAAATAAATAAAAGAATAAGAGTTTTAAACAATGGTCAGTTTAACAACAATAGAAAAAAAGAAATTGCAGAAGATAATAGCAAGAAAAAATTTTTCGTCATCCCATACATTAATAACATTTCTGAGACAATAGCATCGACAATAAAAAAATCAGATTTCAGAGTAGGATACCGTTGTCTAAATAATCTTAACAAATTAATTAAAGTCCACAAGGACAAAAACGTGCATAACAATAATAATAATGTTGTCTACAAAATTAATTGTAAGGATTGTGAAGCTTCGTATGTTGGGCAAACCAAAAGAAAATTACGCACTAGACTAAAAGAGCATATGAATAATATTAAATTTGATTCCTCCAAGCATTCTGTGGTCTCTGAACATATTATAGATAAAAAACATGCTTTTGATTGGGATAACGTTAAAATACTTGATATTGAATCTAATTATTATAAAAGACTTATCTCGGAAATGATACACATCAAGGAACAAAGGCATGGTATAAATAATAACACAGACACCGAATTACTTAACAACGCGTATTTCGACATTCTTGAAGAAATATCGAATGTTTAGACTTATGTAAATGTTTATTTTGTGTGATCTGACACCTATTTATTCGACTTTTTAAAAGACTAGACAACAGTCAAGTACTAACAATAAGGCCAACAACAATTAGAAGCATCGTCATCTCAAGTTATTCGGAACAATTTTTAACAAATATCAAATAATTTGGAGAGGATGGACATAATCATTGCCAGATCGAGGGACTTTCGTCAAATAACGATAAGTGGTTCGTTTGGAGTAATGTATAAGTGTCACTCCGAGTTTTTATTAATAATTCTAAAATATTTTATGAATAACCGGACGAATCATTCTGCTTCTAATTGGGTTCTTACTTTGTTGAACTATTTTAATGGTTTCAATTCATTGTAAATATATTTTGCGTTTTAACTATGACTTAACTATATAACTTATATTGACTATGTATTGCGGATTTTTTATTAGAATTTTATGTATTTATTTATTATCGTTATTTATTATCACTATTTTTTTGCGCACTGAAGAGGAGCAAGTAGAGCTCGAAACGTTTGTGTAATTATTATTTCAAATTAAGAATTTTCTTCTAAATAATAAAATAATATCGTATTGCTCGTTACACATGGCCTTAATTTAATAATTTATCATTGTTTTTATTGTCATACGAGCTTTAGCATTGGTATGTGTTGGTTTGATTAGGTATTAATTTTGAATTGTTATATTATTAAAATATTTAAGCCAATGAGCGAATGAAAAGCGAAAGTTTGGAATTGGTAGGTATCATATACAATAGAATAGATCGGCTAAAAAGATAGTAGGGGTCGATTTATTTTATTGTCTATGTTATGCCTACAAATTCCAAACTATCGCTTTCCATGCGCCCATTGGCTTACATATTCAAATTAATCACATTATTTTGCAAAAGCAAAATGATATAAGATTTTTATGTTTAGTTTACTACAATGTTTTATCTACTCACGAGCGTTGACATCTGACAATTTGTATATTTGAGAATAATTATAATATATATTAATTATAAAAGATAATATATAATATGGAAATCTAACATATGTATGGCTTATTATTTATATGTATAAGATATATCATAGAAATATTATTTTTCATTGACTGGAAATATTAAAAATCTTATTTAAAAACTAGAAATTAAATTGAACATTTTGTTACGGAAACATTAGTATCACATACGTACATATTATAAAATAAATCTTAACTTTATCTTGAAATAAATTTAACTTAAAAAACTTTGAACGCTTACAATGTTAATTATTACGCATATGTATCATATAAATATATATGATAAAATATATCAAAAATTTATTAATATTATTAATCTTCTTGTTATTAGTCTTCCTATAGTTATGATGAGTCTTCTTCAGTTCTTTGTTTATCTTGCTTCTTCTTTTCACCATTTAATCTTTCTTTAGCTCTTCGCAGCCATTTCTGAACTGCTTCTTCTAAAACTTTCTTGTTATATTCGGAATTACTATCTTGACCGGAAACTGTAATAAAAAAATCAGCATCTTGTAAGCAATAATTTATTTATTTATTTATGTGATTTCATTAAGATTAATTATTTAAATAAGATAACATTAATAAATTAAACAAATAACATTATCTACTTATAGACATACTTACCAATTAGCAAGTCAGCGAGTTTTAAATGACAAAATTTCCTTTTCTGTTTTGCTCCTAGCCAACTATATTTTTCAGCCAGCTCGTTGGTCAACAAACGAGTACAATTGCGCTTAATAAATTCGTAAGGATTTTTTCCCCCTACTCTGGATACTTCTTTAACCTACAATAAATATTTTTTAAAAAACATTATTTTGAAAATTACAAATATATAACAATATGTTTAACAATTAATTTAATAATTTACATGTTATTAATATTACTATATAATTTTATATTATAAATTTTAATAATATATCGCTCTAATAACCACAAATTAGATTTAAAATGTAATAAATAATATAGAATTAAAAGGAATTGAAAGAATCTATTTTATTTTTTTTGAAATTTATATATTAATTTAATTTAATAAATTTTTATTTTTAATTTTAACTTATTTACTAAGTTAATTTTTATTTTGTGATTTAGAATTTTAGATTAACTGTAATTGTTTTTAAAATATTTATAAAGATCTATTGTAAATAATTAACATTTTAAAAGTTAAACAATTAGTTATTAATTTTAAAAATCCAATAAAACTCATTAAAAAAAATTAATAATTAATAAATTATTATTACCGATATTTCGAACTTATTCGGTTGATTTAAAAATTGTTCCACGTGCTCTTCTAAATCTTCCACCGAATTAAAAGGAAGATGAGGAAAAGAAAAAATAGACTCTTCTCTTTCAGTTACATTGGGCCGTTGATGAACTTGTTGCAACAATTCATTTTTCATATCTTTTAAATCATCTGCTATTTGCCATAACTGGGTCTTAAAGTATGATTGCTGACGGATAATTTCTTTAAAATACTGAAGCACTGTAAATTAAAACAAAAATAATGTAAAGATTATTTTTTACTTACTAAATTCCAATTTTTTAAAGATTCCATTGAGATTATATATGTATATATAAAATAGTAATTTCAGAATATATGTATATTGAATAGATTTTTGTCCGTGCTATTAACGTATAGTTATGACATTTTATTTATAAAGTGCACAGACAAAGAAAGCAATCACAAAAACATTTTTAATATTTCTTTGTATAACAAAATAATAAATATAAATAATAAAATATAAATATGATTAAATATAAAATGATTAATATAAATATAATTATTGATTAAAATAATGATTAAGATAATGAAATATAATAAAGAAGATGGTGATAAAATGATGATAATGATAAAATAATGTTAATATAATAATAATATCAAAAAATAGAATAAACAGTATAATAATAATTAATAATTATTTCTTTACAGTTATTTACTGATAGCACAGACAAAACCTATGAAAAATTATAAAGTTAGTTTTAAACAATATAAATTATGTACCAATTTTATTGTCGACAACATCTTCTGTCTTATTATTTTGTATGTTGTGCTCATTGTCCTGCAAAATATTTGAAATATTCAAAAATCCATCTTGTAAGTGCTTCGTCCGTTTATTCGGAACTTCATTGGATGATTGATCCACTGATCTTGATTGACATTTGTTGCTCTTCGCATTTTCGTAATTTGTACTTTTCAATGATTCTATGTATAAAAAAAATAATAATAGTAGTTACATATATAATCTTTGTAATACACAAACTAAACATATTTAATAATATCAGTATATACTTATTTTATAATAATTTTAATTTAGTAGCTTTTATTATTATATTAATTTAATAATTTTATTAGTATTTTAGTTTTATATATAATAAAATATATAGAATACTGCATGAATGAACATAATAACATAGGAAATTCAATGCTAATTCTGAAATAATAAAAATATTGGCTCTTCTAACTGTTTTAGAATTAAATTTCATTATTTCTATTTTTTTGGAAAAGCATATCAAGTATTGTCCTATATTAGTTTTTTTATTGACCCATTTTAACTATATTGTTAAATACAATTTCTTTAAATCTTGAAGATTCATTAAAATTGTATTTAACAATATTGACTTCGCCAATTTAAAAAAATTATATGTATAATATATATATATATATATATTATATATTATTATATTATATTTTAATGTATTATAATATATTTATAATATGTTAATTATTTAAAATCTATTTTCTCGGATTTTACAAAATTTGTTTTACATAATTTTGCAACTGCAGTTTTTCTATGTAAATACTTCTGTTAAGTTCTTCTGTATTATAGATTTAATTCAAGATATTGAATGACTAGCTGCTGTCATTAGGATATTATATTTCCCTACACGACATGAAAGATCTGATATGTCAATTGTGAAATGTTAAAATATTGATTTTTCTATTTATTTTCGAGCAAAGTTTTATTAAGTTTTTCGAATATTAAGATTAGTCGATTAAAATTTATATTATTAATGCAATTACTAAATTATGTAAAACAAATTTCGTAAAATCGGAGGAAGTAAGTTTTAAATAAATAATATATCATAAATATATTTTATAATACATTAAAATATAATATAATAATATATATATATTTTTTATATTATATTATATATATTATGTATATTATATATTAATATTTAATATTAAAACTGTGACGACCCGATTAGCCGTCACTAGTCGCCCGCGCTCGTGTAAACGGCCCCTTTCGGGGCCACCACACGAATACGTTGGGAATCCGCCTTTTCGCCCCCACCCGTCACTCGACCCCCTCCAAGCTAGTCTTAGAGTGGGGTGGCCGACGGGTATAAAGAGCGGCGCAGCCGAGACTTCGACACCAGTCCCGTCCTGGTCCCTCGAGCGTACTCAGGGATCACTCCTCAACTCCCACACTCCAAATCACCCCGGCCGACGAGCGTTCTCGTCGTGCAGGCCGAGCGTTCTCGGTCACCGGGTCCTGTCCGTAACTCACCCCGGCCGACGAGCGTTCTCGTCGTGCAGGCCGAGCGTCCTCGGTCACCGGGTCCTGTCCGTAAATCACCCCGGCCGACGAGCGTTCTCGTTGTGCAGGCCGAGCGTTCTCGGTCACCGGGTCCTGTCCGTAACTCACCCCGGCCGACGAGCGTTCTCGTCGTGCAGGCCGAGCGTCCTCGGTCACCGGGTCCTGTCCGTAAATCACCCCGGCCGACGAGCGTTCTCGTCGTGCAGGCCGAGCGTTCTCGGTCACCGGGTCCTGTCCGTAACTCACCCCGGCCGACGAGCGTTCTCGTTGTGCAGGCCGAGCGTTCTCGGTCACCGGGTCCTGTCCGTAACTCACCCCGGCCGACGAGCGTTCTCGTCGTGCAGGCCGAGCGTTCTCGGTCACCGGGTCCTGTCCGTAACTCACCCCGGCCGACGAGCGTTCTCGTCGTGCAGGCCGAGCGTCCTCGGTCACCGGGTCCTGTCCGTAAATCACCCCGGCCGACGAGCGTTCTCGTCGTGCAGGCCGAGCGTTCTCGGTCACCGGGTCCTGTCCGTAAATCACCCCGGCCGACGAGCGTTCTCGTCGTGCAGGCCGAGCGTCCTCGGTCACCGGGTCCTGTCCGTAAATCACCCCGGCCGACGAGCGTTCTCGTCGTGCAGGCCGAGCGTCCTCGGTCACCGGGTCCTGTCCGTAAATCACCCCGGCCGACGAGCGTTCTCGTCGTGCAGGCCGAGCGTCCTCGGTCACCGGGTCCTACCTGAAAGTCACCGGCGCCCGACGGAGCTCGCCCTTCTCAGGGCGCCCGTACGCGTGTCCGCGTTGGAAACTCTAGCAATAAGTCGTGTCCGCGTCCGTATAATCTGGTCGCGTCTCGTCCGTAATATTTCTATCCGTCAATCCTAGCAATAAGTCGTGTCCGCGTCCGTATAATCTGGTCGCGTCTCGTCCGTAATATTTCTATCTGTCAATCCTAGCAATAAGTCGTGTACGCGTCTGTATCATCTGGTCGCGTTTCGTCCGATTATACTGTGCTGTGTATAATGGTTTGAATCACGGGAGAACCACAGGAAGGTGGCCCCGAATAAACTCTACTTTTACCAGAGCAACCGTGTGTCATTGTAAATCTGAGTCTCCCCTCTTCCCGAATCCTGGCACCGACGAGCCGATCCGTGGCGTCGGGAAAGGTGCTTCGTTACATGGCGCCCGAACAGGGACCTGACTCGACCGTCTGAGACTCCGGTTTGCAATCCACATGCTTGGGTGGATCTACCGCCTAGATAAAGAGGAAGCCGTCCGATACCTCGCCACCCGCGATCTAGACCCAGAAGGGAGATTAATCGACCTCCGCCGCCGCATAAGAGACCACGTAATGGCCAATCAGCCAAACACCGGAGCGGCCGAAACGCTCCACGCGCCGCTTAGCCGCGAAGAACGTTACCGGAGTGCACGCGGAACCCCCGAACCACCAGAAGCCGACCCGGCTAAGGCCCTCAACCAGATACGCAAATGGGGATGCCATTTTGATGGTAAGGACCCCCTCGCTTTCCTCGAGCATCTGGAGGAACTCAGTGTGGCCTATGGTCTGGAAGACCACAATCTTCTCACCGGTCTGTCCGAGCTGTTAAAGGGCGACGCCCTTCTGTGGTGGCGAAACACCAGAGAACAGTGGTCCACATGGGCCGGGTTCCGAAAGGATTTCTTGGCCCAGTATCTATCACCCGGGTACAAACGACAATTACGACGGGAAATACAAGGCCGGCGACAGAAGCCAGGAGAGGCGTTTACGCGATACGCTACCGCCGTACAGACAATGATGCGTCGGGCTGGCGGCTACACTAGCCAGGAACGGCTCGAGCAATTATACGAAAACGCCGACCCGGAACTCCAGCTATACGTTCGATTGGACGAACTGCACTCCGTTTCCGCGCTATGCAGTCGTGCCGCCGAGTGGGAGGAAATCCACCGGCGTCGCCAAGAACAACGCCGCGAAACATTACGGTCCACCGAGGCGAATCTTGCCGCCACTACCTATGACCGTGCGAGTTGCTGTTGGCGATGCAAACAGCGAGGGCACACACGACTCGACTGTCGCCGCCCAGCACGGAAGTTCTGCTCGCAGTGCGGGAAGGATGGCGTCCTAACGCGAGACTGCCACCCTCCGACGGAAAACGACCGGCGGGTCGGAAACGAGGCGGCCATCGTCCGACCCGCGTCCAGATAGAGTACACACCGCGGCCGCATTTACCAGTCCAGATTCACCGATTCAACACCTGGGCACTTCTCGATTCCGGATCCGAAGTGTCGTTTGTGAACGCCGCCATGGCCAAACGCTTGTCTGATCGCGGCCTCCAGATCCAGCCGTCCGAAGAACCGGTCAACTTAGCCGACGGCTCCAAGGCACCCACCTCCGGTTCGATCCGCTTCGCCATCCGAGTCGGCCCTCGCTCTGTCCGCCACCGCTTCCAGGTCCTGGATAACCTCAGCAGCGAGGTACTAATCGGAGTCGACCTATGGGCTCGGTTACGCATTACGCTGCCGCCTCCCCCATCCAACCGACCAGGGAGGACGGCTCCGGTCCAGGTGGCGTCTGTCTACGGCAAACTGTCCGCCGGAATCTCCCCACGCTCACCAGAGGAAGACCAGCGTTTCCGGCAGTTCTTGGATACCGAACTCCGGTTATTTGAGTCCGTGCAGGGGCCCACCGATCGCACCAAACACCAGATCAGATTGCGGCCTGGAGCCCCAATAAAGCAGAGATACCGACCCCGTAATCCGGCCATGCAGGCCGTCATTGATAGCGAGGTGAATAAAATGTTGGAAGCCGGAGTGATCGAACCGTCCAACAGCGCCTGGAGTTCCCCCGTAGTCCTCGTCAAGAAGAAGGATGGAGGACACCGATTTTGTATCGATTTCCGCAAGTTGAATCAAGCCTCCGACAAAGATGCCTACCCACTGCCGCACATCCTCGCTACCCTCGATAAGCTCCGAGGGGCCCAGTACCTTTCAACACTAGACTTAAAGGACGGATATTGGCAGGTGCCACTAGATCCGGTCAGCCGTCCAGCCACCGCCTTTACAATTCCTGGGCGAGGACTCTACCAATTTAAAGTCATGCCTTTTGGGTTACATTCGGCACCGGCCACGTTCCAGCGGTTGCTGGATAGTGTCCTCGGCCCGGAACTCGAGCCACACGTATTGGTCTACCTCGACGACATCATCGTAGTCAGCTCGTCACTGGAGACCCATATGGAACATTTGGCCGAGGTCTTCAGACGGTTGAGACAAGCGCGCCTCCGCCTTAACCCACAGAAGTGCCACTTCTGTTGCAGCCGTCTCAAATATTTGGGGCATATAGTGGACAAAGACGGCATTCGAACTGACCCAGACAAGGTCAGCGCGGTAGCCGCGTGGACGACCCCGACAACCGTACGTCAAGTGCGCCAATTCCTCGGCGTCGCCTCCTGGTACCGCCGTTTTGTACCAGACTTCTCCACCACCGCCGCACCGTTGACACGCTTGACCCAAAAAAGAGCACGTTTTGCGTGGGGACCAGAAGAAGAAAAGGCTTTCGACGAGCTGAAGCGGGCGCTCACCACCGCACCAGTTCTTGCTTGTCCCGATTTCAGCCGACCATTCACCCTCCAGACCGACGCCAGCACGTGTGGGCTAGGTGCCGTGCTCACCCAAGAACTATCCGAAGGCGAACGCGTCATTGCCTACGCCAGCCGTACACTAAATAGCGCAGAAAGGAACTACAGCGCTACAGAGCTAGAATGTCTGGCGGTAGTGTGGGGAATCCGTCGAATGCGCGACTATCTGGAGGGTTATCACTTCACGGTTGTCACCGATCACCAGTCGCTTCGATGGCTGCAGAGACTGGAAGCTCCCACCGGTCGCCTAGGGAGATGGGTATTCGAGCTTCAGCAGTACGACTATGACATCCGGTATCGTAAAGGAAAACTGAACATCGTGGCCGACGCTCTCTCTCGTCAACCCGAGGCCTGTGTCATACAAGCCGCTCCAGACTGTCAATGGTACCGCCGCCTTTATCACCAGGTACAACAACACCCGGCCGAACATGCGGACTACCGCATCCAGAACCGACAGTTGCATCGACACATCCTGCATGATCTCAACTTCCACGACTCGCCAAGCGAGGAGCAATGGAAACAGTGCGTCCCGAAACCCCAGCGCGCGGAAATACTGCACCGACTGCATGACGACCCGACCGCCGGACACTTTGGCATTGCGAAGACCATCGCACGAGTAGCGCGCTTATATTATTGGCCAGGAATGTTCCGCGACGTCACTCGATACGTCCGTGACTGCCGAAACTGCGCCACCCACAAGGCCGCACAAACCTTGCCGGCCGGGAAACTTCGAGCCACCAACGTCACGCACCCGTGGCAACAGGTCTCCATTGATCTGGTCGGACCATTGCCACGATCGACCAGTGGCCATACCTGGCTGCTGACCATGCAGGATCGATTCTCCAAATGGATAGAGATGACGCCGCTCCGCCAAGCCACCGCCGCCAACGTCACACGAGAAGTAGCTGGACGTATTATATATCGTCACGGCTGCCCGGACACCATCGTCTCTGATAACGGGACTCAGTTGAGATCGCACCAGCTCGAGGGATTACTACGATCCTTCGGGATCAAGCATAGAACCGCCCCCGCCTACGCACCGCAGTGCAACCCGGTCGAGCGAGCCAACCGCACCATAAAGACCATGGTGGCGCAATATGTGGAAGGCCGACATCGCCGTTGGGATGAACACATTCCCCAGCTCCAGTTCGCTTTCAATACCGCACGACAAGAATCCACGGGATACACCCCGGCCTTTCTGATGTACGGCCGGGAGTTACAATCACCGCATCCCGACGACCGCCGCCCGGCAACGACCAGCAACGCTCCTGAAACAGTTCGACGTCGACTCGAAGACGCCTACGAAATTGTCAGAATCAACCTGGCCCGCGCCTTCCAACATCAACAGCGAAACTACGATTTACGTCGACGCGACTGGCGTCCACAAGTTGGAGACCGAGTATGGAAAAAGGAGCACCCGTTATCGAACAAAGAGCGCGGCTTTAATGCCAAACTAGCACCAAGATTTGGTGGCCCGTTGACGATCAGACGCATCATCTCCCCCGTCATCGTGGACCTGAAGGACGACCGAGGTCGATGGCATCGGCACGTCCACGTGAGGGACTTGAAATCCGCCTCCGAACCGCGTCCTGCGACCGAACCCTAGTCCGATACCCGAGCAACGCGCGCCGATTAACGCCGCCGGTCAACCGTTAGGCATGTTCGCGGTTTCGAATCAAAATACGTGGAGCGGCACTCTTCATGGTCCGCGTCTTGTCAAAAATCTTTGGCCGAATACCGGGAACGACATTCTTCATGGTCCGCGCTTTGCCACCCGGTCCCGAACCGAGAGCGGCACTCTTCATGGTCCGCGCTTTTCCACCCGGTCCCGCACCGGGAGCGGCACTCTTCATGGTCCGCGTCCAGATCACCGAGGGGTATAAAGAACGGGCACCCTTGGGTCGGAACTCATCCCGTCACGATGGAAACATCAAACGAAGAAGCAAACCAGCGCTCAAAGGAAAATCCGTCCGTTTCCGGACGAAATCTGCCCGTTTCCGGGCGAACCACCCGGCCAGTACCGGGAATAGGGACCCGCATCCAGCGGTCCGACGCCAAGCAGCGACGTCGGGACTTGGTGCTCTTGGAGGCACCTCCGCCTCCCCCGGGCAGACGCCGACCTATCCCGGTGAACACCCGGCATCGACGACCACCGGTCCTCTCCGACTCCCCGGCCTCCACCGTCGCCGGCGTCACCAGGCCCACGACGACACCGGCCAGCGCACGCCAGCCCGCTCGACCATCCGCGAACCGATCGGTTCCCTCAACCGGCACCCGCCGACACACGCCATCCGCTGTCGCACCGCCAGCCACCACGCGCCAGTCAGCGACGCCTGACGAAGCGGACCAGCCAGCGCATCGCGCCAACACAGGCCAACAGGTGCGATCCCTTGTCGCGCCACCAGCCAGGGAGCCACCCCAACCGGCACCACGCCGACCTCCAACCGGCCAGGCCCCACCAGTGCCAGCACCACGCCCGGGACCGCCACGACCCATCCAGGTCACTCTGGGGGATGGCCAAACCGTCGACATACCGTACCACGCCGCCACCATCTCACGGCGGTATAAGGTACGCACCCCGACGGGCCGGTGGATCATCAGATTCGACCGACGAGGAAGACCGCGAACGATCCGTCGAATAGCCACCCCCCCCTAGAAAAGGAGGGTGATGTGACGACCCGATTAGCCGTCACTAGTCGCCCGCGCTCGTGTAAACGGCCCCTTTCGGGGCCACCACACGAATACGTTGGGAATCCGCCTTTTCGCCCCCACCCGTCACTCGACCCCCTCCAAGCTAGTCTTAGAGTGGGGTGGCCGACGGGTATAAAGAGCGGCGCAGCCGAGACTTCGACACCAGTCCCGTCCTGGTCCCTCGAGCGTACTCAGGGATCACTCCTCAACTCCCACACTCCAAATCACCCCGGCCGACGAGCGTTCTCGTCGTGCAGGCCGAGCGTTCTCGGTCACCGGGTCCTGTCCGTAACTCACCCCGGCCGACGAGCGTTCTCGTCGTGCAGGCCGAGCGTCCTCGGTCACCGGGTCCTGTCCGTAAATCACCCCGGCCGACGAGCGTTCTCGTTGTGCAGGCCGAGCGTTCTCGGTCACCGGGTCCTGTCCGTAACTCACCCCGGCCGACGAGCGTTCTCGTCGTGCAGGCCGAGCGTCCTCGGTCACCGGGTCCTGTCCGTAAATCACCCCGGCCGACGAGCGTTCTCGTCGTGCAGGCCGAGCGTTCTCGGTCACCGGGTCCTGTCCGTAACTCACCCCGGCCGACGAGCGTTCTCGTCGTGCAGGCCGAGCGTTCTCGGTCACCGGGTCCTGTCCGTAACTCACCCCGGCCGACGAGCGTTCTCGTCGTGCAGGCCGAGCGTTCTCGGTCACCGGGTCCTGTCCGTAACTCACCCCGGCCGACGAGCGTTCTCGTCGTGCAGGCCGAGCGTCCTCGGTCACCGGGTCCTGTCCGTAAGTCACCCCGGCCGACGAGCGTTCTCGTCGTGCAGGCCGAGCGTTCTCGGTCACCGGGTCCTGTCCGTAAATCACCCCGGCCGACGAGCGTTCTCGTCGTGCAGGCCGAGCGTCCTCGGTCCCCGGGTCCTGTCCGTAAATCACCCCGGCCGACGAGCGTTCTCGTCGTGCAGGCCGAGCGTCCTCGGTCACCGGGTCCTGTCCGTAAATCACCCCGGCCGACGAGCGTTCTCGTCGTGCAGGCCGAGCGTCCTCGGTCACCGGGTCCTACCTGAAAGTCACCGGCGCCCGACGGAGCTCGCCCTTCTCAGGGCGCCCGTACGCGTGTCCGCGTTGGAAACTCTAGCAATAAGTCGTGTCCGCGTCCGTATAATCTGGTCGCGTCTCGTCCGTAATATTTCTATCCGTCAATCCTAGCAATAAGTCGTGTCCGCGTCCGTATAATCTGGTCGCGTCTCGTCCGTAATATTTCTATCTGTCAATCCTAGCAATAAGTCGTGTACGCGTCTGTATCATCTGGTCGCGTTTTGTCCGATTATACTGTGCTGTGTATAATGGTTTGAATCACGGGAGAACCACAGGAAGGTGGCCCCGAATAAACTCTACTTTTACCAGAGCAACCGTGTGTCATTGTAAATCTGAGTCTCCCCTCTTCCCGAATCCTGGCACCGACGAGCCGATCCGTGGCGTCGGGAAAGGTGCTTCGTTACAAAACGAACTTTGTGTGTTCATAATTGGAGGCGTCCGTAATTTAGTGCACTCTTCGGTAGATTCATCTGATGACAAAAAGAATTTCTTTGGGATAATTTTTCTTTTCGAAATGTTATCATTATCAGTCTCGGAGTTTAATTCAGATGTTAATTCAGCCTTTTTGGCTTTTTCCCTGGCTGTTTTATAGTTATCTGAAAATACAAGTAAATATATTTATATTATTATAACAAAAATAACGATTATGTACATATATTATTGATCACAAAAGTATATGTGGAATGTATAATATTTAAATATTTTATATTAACCATAACTGCTGTTTCTGAAAGTCATAACATTATATGAAGGCCAACATGTATTTGGTTTGGCATGTTTTTTGATAGCCGCTACAATTTTTTCCATATGAAACGGTGGCCAATAACATTTTTTATTGATAATCCAGGTAGATGGGACAGCTTCAACTGTATCTTCATCTATAAACCTTACTATAGTCCATGATCTCTCCATTTCTTCAAACATTTCAACAAAAAATTTAAGGAGCATTTTATTCCAACAAAAAATTCTATTTACAATTTATATATGAAAAGGCGCAAACACTCAATAACTTATCACAAAAATTGCAAACCTATTTCCTCTATATATTATATTGTATATTATATATATATTATATTTATCTATATATTATTATAAATTATATAAAAAATTAACATTTTTTTAGCGAAGAGCACAAGAAAAGAAAAATTTTTAAAAATATTCTGAATGTAATAAGGGAAAAACTACATACTTATTTTTATATTTTAATTTCATACATTTATTTGCAATTTGCCCTAAATCCCAGGATTCTAAATTTCCAATATCATTGATTACATATATCCTTAATTTTGACGACTTACATGGTACGGTGTAAAAATCTGTAAGCGTTTTATATTTATTTCCGATTACGAAAAAGCCCTCATTATTTACAACAAAATTTCTAATAACAATAATGTTTTCGTCTTTTAAGCTACAGCAATTATCGGGTTCATTTATTTTTAAAATAAATTGTTTAAACACCGCTTTGCCAAATTGATTACAATTATGAAAATTAATAATAAGTGGACCATTAAAATGTGGTTTTAAAAATTGAGGCTCGTTACATTTCACTCTGACATTAGAATTTATACAATAGTTTCTTTCAGTTATACGACAAACAATTTGCTCTAATTCTTTATTATTTTTACGAATCATTTTTAATATAGATTGTAAGTAATTTTCAAACGGAAAAGCACTGAATTCTTGAAGAATTCCAAATTTTTTCGCGTCATCACAAATATGTAATAAATGATGCAGGTTGTGCGATGCATTTTCTTTACCATATAAATTAATAAATGTTTCTACAAAATATTGCAATAAGGAGTTGGAATCATCTAAATATTGTTCCATATGTTTTGAATTAGACAAAATAGTGATAGCTACATGTAAAGTTAAAAAATTTAAATATTGATCATGATTTAGAATAGATTTTAAAACAACAGATCCCGTATATAATAAAAAAGTTCTAAATTCGGTTGCCTTCCATCTTTTACTTTCAAACAAAGATCTTGATTTTCTATTAAATTCGGAAGGTATATATTTTTTTTGATGTTCTAATAACTTTGATATTTCAGATATTTGACAAAAGGATAACTTTGTTTTAGGTTTTCCGTAACACCATAAAGAAATCAGTTTTTTAACAACTCCCAAGAATATTAAATGCATCGGATCAGATGGAAAATCATTCACCATATTTATATTAGGAATCGATTCAAGTATTGATGTACCTATATGATGGTTTTCTTGTAATTTTAATCGGAAATCGTTATCTGTTCTTAATTGACAACTATTTAAATATGGATAAGTCATTCTATTGAGATAATATTTGCCCTTAGCTGTACATTTAAAACATGCGTAATAACCCGAATGATCCTTTGTATAAGTAATAAAACATCTAGCAGGAACATCGCATATAAAAGATTTAATTTTAAAAGAATAAGTGTGATCTTTAATTTTTATACCATGAATAGTTAAATTTTTTGCTTCTTCTGTGAAAGATTGTAAAAATACATTGGCATCTGTGGGTTTTTCATGTCCATGATAAATTCCAATGACATCAACTTCATTGTAATTTTCAACTAAATTACATAAAATGGGATAAACTTGACTACTTGAACTTTTGAATAATGGCAGGCCATCGATGTTAATGTTAACTTCAATACAGTGTAAATTTTGAAAAGAACATCGCGATAAAAGTCTTTCGATGCAATTACTTAAACCGAAATGATAGTAATGTCCTGGTGCAACGACGTCTACATTGATTTTTCTGGGAGTTCCTAATAAACTGCGAGCATTTTTAGGCAATTCCGGATATTTAAGTTTCATATTAGATATTAATTCATTTAACGCAGTATGAGTTATATTATTTTTAATTGCCCATTCTTGCAACCAAGATATAGAATTTGGAAAATCAGTAGTGGAATTTATAGATTTAAAGTTATTCACAAAATTTGTAGATTCAAAGTTATCAAAATTATGTTCTGTATCATCGGGATCACGGTCTGAATTATAATTATTCACGGTTTCTAAATCATTATTGTTCGAAATCGAACGGATAAAGAAAGCTGAAAGGAAGGGCATTAATGTATTACATTCAAATTCATGCAATATAAGCATGCAGCATGCACATAACTAGCATTACGTATATAAAACCTTAAATTGTAACAGGCAGATTTTAATATTATTTAAATCGCGCTCGGCCGCACAAGTATACATATACCTCGCGCCTGCGAAAAAAGAAGCGCTTGCGTTAACTTTCACTTTAATCGTAAACACCGCGGTCGTGCGAGAGGAGAGAAAATCAAGTGCCAATAACAACAAAATATGACTTGCTAAAAGGTAAATAATTATCGTAAACGTACTTTCGCCCTTAACATCTCGATCGAACAAGGGAAAATGTTCGCGAAGGTTCTCGAAATCCGGGACTATATAAACCTCCTCTCTCGTGACCGCGGGGCTCTTTCCGATTGCTCGTCGCGAATAGAGTGTGCTTCTACTTTCCGAAAAAGATCGCTTGTCTTTTTCGGTTTTCTCGTCTAATTACCGTTGCTTGCGGAACAGTCAGTAATTTATTTTCGACCCGGCTTTTCTCTCGTTTATTGCATTCATTTCTAATACATTCGACTCGGCTATCTTTTGGTAATTTCTGTGCGGTAAAACAATTGTAATTTGTGTTGTTCTTAGAGTAAATATATTTTTTGTTCACGTTACGCGTTTGTCGAGTGCAGTGTTTCGCTGTCCTTTCGCTTCCGACCTTCCTATCCTGCTTTCCGTCGCGCACAATTATTGATATAAAAATTATTGCAATCCTCTAAATTATTATTTGAAACTGAAGGTGTACTTTCTAATAATGGCATTAAATTCTTATTTTGAACATTATTAATTACTAAATTAGTTATCTCTTGTGCTCTTCGATAATATTTTCTTCTTATTTTTGGCATTTTTAAAATTAATATTAAAATTTAAAATTGATTAATATTTTTCTACCTTTAATTAATTGATGAAAATCCGTTGAAAATTCGAGAATCGATAGAAATAATAATCTAAAAAATTTATAAATAACGCTATTAGCAATCAGTACAAAAACATTTAAAAAATAAAACAAATAAACAATAATCGGAAAAAAGCGTTGATTTAGTAACGAATGTCCCATGTATACAGGGTGTTTCAGAAATAAATCGCCAAACTTAAAAAGCATATTTTATATACTGTAAGGATGAAAACAATAACAGATTTTAATAAATCTTTTATAACAGATTTTAAGAACATTTGAAACTGTAACATTTCATTACAGAAATTGTTGAAAATAATTTTCTTCCACATTAATGCACGTGTCGCATCGACATCGCATAGATATTATCGAAGACGCCCAAAAATTCTCGAAATATTTATTTTGTCACACGAAATGATAATACGATTTCGGAGTACTTTCACAGTAATAATACAAATATCATAAATGATTCTATAATATTATTACAGATCCATCTAATAACTTTTTGTTTATTTCTAATAAAAAGTGAATAGGACAATTCATGAAACGAAGCGAGATATATGTTGCCCGATGTAAATAAAAAATGTTTATAACTTGAAAAGAAAGCTGTTCCGAATGTTTATATACTTTTTATCATTATAGTGAGTAGAATATGCTCTTAAAGTTTAGCGATCTATTTCTAAAACATTTTGTGTATAGATTATTATCATTAAAGATTATAGAACATAGGAAACGAATATGAAAACGAAAACGTTCAATCAATTAATATAATGAATGAAGGAAATTATGCGTGCGTGTGTGCGTGCGTATGTGATGTGTGCGTGAATGTGACAAAATTATTATTATATAATAATTATAGTAAAACGTCTTACCTTGATAAATTTCTAGCAAATGTCCAATAGATTGTGCAATGGTCGCAACCTCACAGCACTACACTACGTGTATGTATACGTGCTTACAATCGTCGACCGAATAAGGAAAGGTTCACTGACCCAAACATTACACTATCCTATAATAAGGATTCGCGGTTGTTTTGGTCTTGCGCATCACCGCGTGCGAGTACCGCGACGTCAAGGACGAGACGCAGTACCGTTAATTCTGACGGGGACATGTGCCCCGATAATAAATAAAAGTAAATTTATAGATTTAAATAAAATAAGTTATTATTAATAAATTATATTTAATTGGTATATAAAAAAATAATAATTTTAATATAAAAATAATTAAACTAAACATTAGTGTAAAAATAATTATAGTAAAAAAATATTGCGATACTAAAATAAATATTTAATAATAAAATACAATAATTATTTAATAATAATAATAATAATATACATATATTTTGATCGTGGCATTAAAAGAACAGATTTTGTAATATTAAAAATTATTTCTCAAATATATAAGTTTAGTTATAACATTAAATGATACTATAAAAACATTTTCAAACATTTTTTTATATATAAGTAAATGTTAAAAAATATTTGTTGTGATATATTTATTAATA